ATATGTTTAGCATGTGAGGAAATATTAGCAGTTCCCCTGAATTTCAAAAATATTTATAAAATAGCAAGAAATTCATAACAAGACGAACTGGTGGCCCCTTTTACATGGTAAAGAATTTCATGCGTATCAATTTGTCGTTATTTATTTTTATTTAAAATACCATCAATATTAATCAAATTTTGATGTGCTTGCCATCTATCGGCAGTACAAGGAAGTTATAAAACAAACAACTCTGCCTGTATTTTCAGGTAACTCTACCTGTAGTTCTGGGTAAATGAATTAACAGGAATCATTCGCATATTTTATGAGAATTAAAAAATTAAAAAAAAAAAGTGCATAATTAAAAAATTTCGACTCGAGCCCTAATTATTCTCTATTTTTGCTTATTTTGAGTTACAAGGACATAAATAATAGGCTATATGTCCTTATATTTTAAACTCAAAAAATTTAGTTCACTATGACGCTTTGTTCCATTACACACGTTTTTTTGAAACTAATTTTGTAATTTTTTTGAAACCAATTTCGTAATTTTGAATGTAATTCTTCTGAAATTAATTTCGAAATTGAACAAAAGTAGTTTTTGGAAATAAATCGTCTCGTTTCACACTAATTTATAGCTTATCAAATTCATCGTTTCGAGTGCACAATCCCCCCTCCTTCCCCCAATATTTTGTCTGGTTTGCCAATGAATCCCCAACAGAAATTTCCAAAATCTAATTTCCCATACTCTTTCCTTTATCACTAACAATTAATTACTGCTTCCACATTTACAATTAAAACTCAATGCTTAAATGGATTATTTCGAATTGAAAAGTGTAAAAAAGTACAGCGGCATCAAAGTCTGTGCAGTTTTTGTTCAAAAAACTGTTATTTTTCTATTTCATTGTTCCTAAAATTAAATTTTTGTTGCATCCAAAACACAACCAATTTGCTCGCTCTATCTTTTTTTACATCCATCAAAACCATCAAAATTTAAAAAACTAACTTGCTGAGGACGAAACCAATGGCAATGACGGCAAAGCGCTTCACATCCTGATTGGGATCAGCAGCAACTTTAGCTAATAGACGTCGAACAACATCAGCTTTTCCGGAGCCTGCATAGGCCATTGCAAGCATGCAAACAGCGGTCGACCGAAGCATTGCATTTGATTTATGCTCCAACAATGGTGCTATCAGCTTTTCAGCTTCCTCCTGTTGTCCTAAAACAACGCCTCTGTTTCACATCACAAAATATTCATCAGTCATGAGAGGCTAGAAAAAAAAAA